GCGTATGCCAAAAGCATGCACTTCCTGAGATCCGCGCTGACCTCTTGGCTCGGCGCCAGGGGCGCCGCCAGGGGTGGCCCAGCGCGGATCCAAGAGATCCGCGCAGACCTTCGAACAACTGTGCTTACTTGTGCTGCTCTTCCCTCTTCGACGTCCGGTGGCGTGCACTCTCCGCGGCGGCTGGCCGGCGCAGAGGTCGGCGCGAGACGGGCCGTGGTGGCGGGCGGCAGGGCCGCGCGCCACGGCGCGGCCGAGGCCCCCGGGAGCGGCAGGCCGCGACCAGAGAGCGACCCGGGCAGCTCGCACCGCGGGCGCAGAGGCAGGCGCGAGCCCGCTCGCGGCCGCGTGCGGCACGCGCCGGTGCAGGCGGGCGCGGATGCGGCCCGGAGCCGGAAGAAGGAATGCGAGCTTGAGGAGAAGACGAAACAGCAAACAGAACCAAGAGGCCTGATCACAGGAAGGAGGCGAAAGAGACACATGACGCATATACCATAACAAGGGCAAACCTAATCAGGACCACAACGCCGATATTTCCAAAATTTAGTAATCCCCACCAGCCCTCTGGGCGTAGGTGGTCCAGAGAGCTCTCTCTTCCGACTCTCTTCTTCCACTTCGGGGAGGGGTCGATCACTGTTCCCCATTACACCCCCTCCCCTAGGCGACCGGCGGCCAACCAAGAACCACGCGGGCCCTCCCCCACCATCCCCTGTCAACAACAAAATACAAAACGCACTCTGCCTCCAAATCCGGAGCATGCGCAACCAACCCGATGCGGCCCCCCTCCCCCCCCATCCCTGTCAAAAAACTATACCGAGTACATGTCGGGGCACAGTCTGGAGTCATGTCAGTGAGGCCCGCGAGCACATTATATGGTTTTTTGGCAGGGACGGCGGGGGTAGTGGCGCATGGCCTGCTGCGCGCAGGCCCACCAGACACAATGATGGGTATTGGTTTTCGACAAGGATGGTGGGGGACGACATGTTTCCCGATGTGTGCTGTCACGTGCGCAGGCGCACCTGATACACTCTGCACGTGCCCAGAACGTGGCGCACCTGGCGCGGCTGGAGTATGCAACGCACCTGGCGCACGCGGGGGCACGTGGCGCATCTGGCGCATCAGGGGTGCCTGGCGTGCGTGGCGCGCCTGGCACGCGTGGCGCACCTCGTCCCGGCGTCGCGCACACGGGCTCGGTTTTGGTTCCCAGTAGCTGTCCATCCAAAGACGACCGCTGTACATGCTGAGGCTCGTGTGTTACTTATGTGTTGGGAGTGCGGGTGGGAATGAGCTAGACGGCTTGCTATCTGGAGGGCACCTTGACCCCTCCCCCTACCCCATCCCCTGGACCTGGAGGGGCGCCCCGCGAGGTGTCAGAGGGTCTTTTTGTTTGAACCCAAGATGACTCCAAGAGCGCCTCAGAGAGCCCAAGATTACATCCAAGATCGCTCAAGATATCCCAAGCTGGCTCGATATGGTTTCCAAGATGCTTCAAGGAGGCCCCAATACCGTTCCAAAGCGGCTCCAAGTTGCCACGGAGCCTTCCACGGAGGCCCCCGAGAGGCCAAAATCCTACAGCAACCTTAGGAACATCAATGCGTTTCGCCTTCTCGCCTTTTTGTTTTAGATGGCCTTCCGAGGCCTCCAGATGGCTCCAAGAGAGCCCGAGAGGGCCCCAAGAGAGGCCTTTTGCCAAAAAAACCCTGGAACCATCCAAGACAGCTCCAAGCAGACCCTCCCCCAGTGTGACCCACCGCGCTGTGTTACGACATCCAGAGTAGCATAAACATCCCAGTGCTAATAATACCAAGCAGACAAGCAAACATCCTATTACGAAGTTACATCAATGACGATACTATTGGACATACTAACTCGTAATCGTGATCGTAATAATGGTAACACGAAACCTCCTCATAAGAACGGTAACGCAGCTAATTAACAACACGAATAATGATCAGACTTATGATTACACAACGTAGCGTAAATAATGCCAAGAATATAACTCATCGCAATAATAAAGATGATACCTAGTCAAATATGACAGTTGTAATACTGTCAAGTATGACAAACTTAATAACTACAGGCGATACATCCCCGTTACGAAAGTTAATTCATCTGGGCTAAAATTGACATGTGTGGGCGCTGTGGTGAGAAGTGGTATGGGAGTGATTCTTCCTTGTGGTTTCATACGGGGAGAGATTCAGAGTTGCCTGGAAGTGACCGGGAGTGATTTCTCCCTTGTGAGTTTACGGGGGGGAGATGTTATCCTGAATTGGTTATGTACAAGTAATGTTACCAGGGAGAACCCCGGAAATCTCTCCCGCCAAGCCAGGCCGAAGACTGCCGTGCTAGGAGTCTACGGGGGAAGGGGGCCACTCGGAGACGCCCTTGTCATCAGTGCTCAAGATGAATGACTTTCGTAACGGGTAAGTAGTACCAAATACTAATATTACTAATAAGGGTCTCATCAATATTCGGTAACACGACCATCAATGACAAACAACATTAGCATAATACTGATACTAATAGTCGCACACAGCGTAGTAATAAGAAACCTCATGATAATAAGAATGGCAATAATCAGCGCAAACAGAAGATATACTAAGACGAATGAAATCACTACTAATAAGACTAGCAAACCAATAATAGTATGAAGAAGAAGCATCATATTGGCTATGCTATTAATAATGGTAATCAGAAGAAGAAGAAGCCAAAGAAGAAGAAGAAGAAGAAGAATAAGAAGAAGAAAAAGAAGAAGAAGAAGAAGAAGAAGAAGAAGACTGCGCGCAGGCGTGGCGGCGGCGGCGTGTCAGGGCGGCCCTGCCACCTGCCTGCGGCGGCCCCGCGCCCCCCCGTGGCGCGCTTGGCGGCGGCCCCTGGCGGCCCGCGGGCGCGCGCGCAGTGCGCCGTGGCACGGGGCGAACATCCGCCGGGCGAGATGCGGGGCGCAGCGTGACGAGCAGCACGGCGGACACGCAGAGCAGCGTGCCGCGAGCAGCATCGCCAAGGGTAGGGGGACAAACAAAGACGTAGACATAAAGGTCCGCGCGGATTCCTCGGATCGGAGCTGGGCCCCCTGGCGGCGCTTCCAGCGCCGCCCCTGGTGCGCTCCGCGCGCCATGGAGGGGGGTCCAGCGCCGATCCGAGAAATCCGCGTGGAGCTCCGAGTTTTCATGTTTATGTCATTGTTTGTTCCCCTGAAGGGTGCCGACGGCGTCGACTGCGTCGACGTGGGCGCTGACGGCCTGGGCGGCTTCGTCCAGCCTCGGCGGAGCAGCGATGCGGTGGCGAAGGCTGCTGTGCTGGCGTGCTACGGCGACGGCTTCGTGCGCCCTGGCCTGGCCGCGTTCCTCCAGCAGAGGGCTGAAAGAGCCACTCTCAGGGCAGGCACCCCATGCAAGCAGAGCCCTCCAGGAAACGCGCCCTGGGGAGGAATCGAGCAGGGCAGGAGTGCTCAGCAATTGCCCAGGACCGTTGAGTAAAACTCCAATCATGGGGGTACACGGGGGTCGGGGTGGTCCCTCGGGGCCCCCAAACCGTGTGGTGACAGACCGCGAGGCGGCCCGGAAGCTCCAACGACATCGCTGGGCGGTCCGTCACCACGCGGTTTTGGGACCCTGGAGGCCCCAGTCGCTCGGGACGTCCTCGGAGAACGACCCGAGCCCCAAAACCGTGCAATGATCCCGAATCCCCGCTGACTCACCGCGCGGTGTGGTCACCACACCATTTGGGGGCCCCCGAGATCGTCCTCCGCTGGATCAGGCTGAGGTGGACTTCGCTGCGGGCGCTGGGGGGAGGAGGCGCTTCTGCGAGGAGGCGCGGCCGCAGGCTGCGGCGGGGGTCGTCTTAGAGCCGAGGGGCGACGTGGTCAGCGGCGTGCCGCGGGCGCGGACGCCGGCGGCGCAGCTGGGGCCATCAAGGATCCGTGTGCGACCGACCCGCTGCAGCGAAGAGGGCCCCTCCCCAAAACTCCTCCAGCTCCTCATCGTGGTCCTCCTGCTGCTCCTTCTGCTCCTGCTCCTGCTCCTGCTCCTGCTGCTGCTGCTCCTCCTCCTCATTATCCTCCAGCTCCCCTCCCCTTGAGGATGGAGCCATCCTGGAGCAATGGGGCCGACCGCAGGAGGACGCGGAGAGGCAGGGGGAGGGGAAAAGGAAAGGGAAAGGGAGGGACCTACATCACCCGCCTCGTCCTGGACGGCCTAAGAAGGCGTCAGGGTCACGCCCCAAGAGGTCTCCCGAAGCTGTCAGGACGGCCCAAGAGACCTCCAGAGTGCATTGCAGGAGGCCCGAGGAGGCCCCGAGGCTCACGAGAGGTCTCACGAGAGAGGCCACAAGGTCAGAACGGAAGTATGTGCTTGTGTGGTTTTCCCCTACCTAGGCTCTGCCTAGAAGGGTTCTTACTCTCTCTTACTCTCTGGGCTTAAAGGGCCGGGCAGTGGAAAGCGCCCCGGGCGGTTCCCCCAGTATCCGCCCCGCGATTCCCCCAGTTACGTCCCCTTAGCTTAGCGTTGCTTATCTCATCTTAGCTTAGCTTATTACATCTTAGCTTAGCTTAGCTTAGCATGGGTGTAATTCTCTACCTAGGCTCTGCCTAGAGGGTTAGCTTAGCTTATCTTATCTTAGCTTAGCATAGCGCAGCGCTGCATTAGCATAGCATAGCATAGCATATCATAGCAAAGCATAGCATAGCATAGCGCAGCATAGCATATCATAGTATAGCATAACATAGCATAGCGCAGCTTAGCATAGCTTAGCATAGCTTAGCATAGCACAGCGCAGCATGGCATAGCATAGCTTAGCATAGCATAGCATAGCGCAGCATAGCATAGCATAGCATAGCATAGCGCAGCATAGCATGGCATAGCATAGCAACTAATGCTGCTTTCTTAGGGGCTCCAACTTCTAGGTCGGGTCGCACTGGGGTAATTCATGGCTTCTTCCTTGCCCGATCGTGCAATGCGACCTGTGCATCATGCAAGCAAGGGCTGCACGGCCTGGCATTGTTTCGCTCGATTAGCTGACCTGCCTGAAATGATGAAGAGCAGCAGCAGCAGCAGCAACAGAAGCAGCAGCAGCTAGCAATCAAAAGCTCAGACCCAAGCCCCTCGATCCGAGCCACGAACGAGACCTCAGCGCCAAGACCCCGAATCTCGAACTTTAGCCATCTGGATTGCACTGCTTGGCCTCAAGGTGCTGACGCCGAGCCAACCTCCATTCCTATACTCTATACTACATCCATGGTCGTGCTGCACGCACGGGCTCTGTGGCCAACAACAGTGTCTGATTGAGCGGCCAATCTTTCTGCGTGCGCCGACTCCAGCACTGGCGGAGCTGGTCACCGTCTGCCCAAACGCCACGAAATAATGGCGATGCCTGCCGCCATTGCCTGCCTTGCTCACAAGCGCTGAGCCCGATGTAGTGTAAGGACAAGGGATGCAATCTCGCTTGCCCTACTTCATCTAGCAACGACAACGTATGCTGCCACCGCAAGGCCTGCTCGCATGCACTGGCTGCACCAAGAAGGCTACTAACGTCTGGTACCAACATCGTTGACTTCATTCCCCTGAGCAACAACAATGCCTGCAACCATTGCCCACCTTTGGCGCAAGCACGAATTCCAGCATTATAGCTAATTGTGCCCGGCTCCAGCCTGGCTTCCAGCATCTCGGTGAGCAACCACAGCGCGTGGTCCCACTGCCCGCATATCGCGCATGCACTGATTCCGGCGCTGCAGCTGATGACGCACAGCTCCATCTTCGACCGAGACAGCTCGTTGAGCAATGACAGCGCATGCTGCCACTGCATTCCCTTCTCGCAAGCACTTATTCCAGCACTGTAGCTGATGACTCCTGGCTCCAACTTCGCTTGTCGCAAGTCACGAAGTATCAATAATGCCCACTGCCACTGTCCGACTTTCTCGCATGCGCTGATTCCAGCACTGTAGCTGATGATATTTGGCCTCAGCACTGCTGCACTCATGCCAGTGAGCAACGATATGGCATACTGCCACTGACCACCTGTAGCACATGCGCTGATTGCTGCACTATAGCTCGTGACGTCTGGCTCTAACATCGCTTCAACCAACCCGCTCATCGGCGGCGAGCGAGGGGGGGAAATGAGAACTAGAAGGCCTTCTCGGAAGGCAGCGGGACTTCTCAGAAGCCCTCGCGCCTTCTGAGAAATTCGTTCTGTCTTCGGGGAAGGCTTAGAAAACTTCTCAGAAGTCCTGGGAACTTCCGAGCCCTCTGAGAAGACCTTCTCCTTCTCACTTCCCCCCCTCGCTCGCCACCGAGCTCAGCAACGACACGGCCTGTTGCCACTGACCAGATTTCTGGCACGCGCTAACTCCAGCACTATAGCTGATGACGTCCGGGTGCAATTTCGCCTCGCGCAGAGTGCACATCAACGCCAGCGCCTGCTGCCATTCCCCGCCTTTCGCACACGCGCTGATTCCAGCATTGCAGTTGATGACGTCCAGCTTCAATTTCGCTTCAATCGACTCGCCGAGCAACCCGCTAGCCCACTTGTGGGGCCATCAGGCTGCGCGGATTAGGCTTGCCGCTCCCTGCTTCAGTTCCAGTTTCAAGTCTCCCATGTTATAGTCCTACTTCCTAATTCCTACTGTAAACTGTTGAAGTCCGCGCGAGGGGGGGAGTCCAAGAACGTACAATGTACCACGCCCTCCGGGTGGTCTCAGAATGTGGGCGGGGGATCAAAGCAAATAGCATGGACGGTTCAAGAAAATTCGTGAAGACGGTTAAACCACAAAAGTGTGATGGTTCAGAAACAAATCTCTGGCCCTGGAGGCACGATCCTTGTGAGGAATGTGCTACAATTGGCGGATCGGCGACGTCTCGGGGCCCAGGCGTTGGGGTTCAAAATGATCTGTTCTGGCCCTGGAAGGGGGGGGAGGCCTTGGCGGCGGGAGTTCAAACACTTTCTCCGGCACGGGAAGAGGGGGAGGAAGGATTGCATTGCGTTGCATTGTCTTGCATTGCGTTGCAGATCATTGCCTTGTGCTGCGATGAAGTGCATTGCATTGCATCCTGTTGAATCTTGAATCGCATTGCGTTGCACTGCGTTGGAGCGCATTGCCTTGCATTGTGGCGCATTGCATTGCGTTACATTTGTATGCACTGGGTTACGGGCGAGGGGCAGGAGGGGAAGACGGGGAAGGAGGAGAACAGAAGGAGGTAGAGAGGAGGGGAGGAAGGAGGAGTGACGAGGGCGGAGGAGGAGGGAGGAAGGGGGAGGCGGGTGGGGGGCAGGCGAACGGAGGATCGAGGAGGGGGACGAAGTGGAGTGCCATCAGGTGCTCCAGAGTCCTCTGTAATCTGCACGTGGCGAGCAGAGTGGAGTCGTGCCTGTCTTCGGACAAGGCGGCGCTGCCACGCGACGGGTAGAGCGGAATGGCATTTTTTTCGCCCGCCCAGGCATTGCCATGCGGCGAGTGGGGCGTGGGCCCCAGCGGCGCTGACACGCGACGAGGCACGCATTGCATCACAGTGCCTTGCGTTTCACTTCGTCGCATTGTACTGCATTGAGCTGCGATGCATTGCATTGCATTGCAGTGCGTTGCGTTGCACTGCGTTGGGAATTTTCCGATCCTGGTCAAAGTAGCCCTACTAGTACGCCCCAGCCAGGTTTCAAAAGACCGTACCGGTAGGCCAAAGTAACCGCACTCGTAGCCCCGCCACCACGGCCTCCTAAACCCGACCCAGCACCACTCCTCAACTCTCCAACCTGTTAATTCGTCCAACCCCTAGAACGCCGACAAACCACCTGGGCAAGCGGGGAACCCGGCCGATCAACCAACCAACCAACCAACCATACCAACCAACCAATCAACCAACCAAACGATCGACGAATCAACAAACCAAACGGCCGACCAATCAACCAACCAACCATCCAACCAACCAACGGGGCAACCTACCTATCTTACCAATCACCAACCGGCCCATCGGCCAACCGGCGGCCAACTGGCTCACTGGCCAACCAACCAAACAACCAACCAAGCAACTGGCCAGCCAACCAACCAACCAACCAAACAACCAATCAACGAACCAACAAACCAACCAACCAACCAACCAACAGAGCAACCGACCAACCAGGCAACCAACCAACCAGGCAACCAACCAACCAACCAACCAACCAACCAGCCAACCAACAAACCAACCAACCCATCAGCCAACCCGCCAACCAACCCACCGACCAACCAGCTGACCACCCGACCGACGAACGAACCAATTTTGGTACAACCCTCATACAGATCGCCCCTCGTGGACCGGAAGATATTTTTTCGAACGCTCAAAAAATTATCTAGCTCTCAGAACTTGATTTGAGAAGAAAAAATGTAGTGAATCTGCTCCCCAGAATCCCCAGAATTTTTCGGGGGGGCCTAAGACACGTAACACTACGTCCGAGTCGCGTGCCCGAGGCCATAATCCCTCGCAGATTACACGCGATTCGCGTCCCCGAGGCCACGATTCCTCATACATTCTACAATGCTTGCGTCTCCGAAGACATAACCCATTTTAAATTACAGAATGTTCGCGTCCTCGAGGCCATCAACCTTCGTAAATTAAGCAATATTCACATCACCTAGGCCACTGTCCCCCGTAAATCATACAATATTCGCGGCCCCGAGGCCACGGCCTCTAGTAAGTTATGCAATGTTCTCGTCTCCGAGGCCACGATCCTCAGTAAATTACATCCCCAGGCCGAAATTTTCTCCCTTGGACTAAAAGTATGAGAACATCAACGGATCCAATAGGATCCTTTTTCGGGCGCGGGAGAGTGTCGTGGATCCTATTTCTGTGCTGCGCGGATCCAATTTCCTGCGTGTGAAAAATCGATGGATCCATTTATTCCCCGGGAATAAATATATAATTAACATCGGGGACCCAGGGGAAATGGGATCCGCGGAGCACCGCAAGCGAAGCATCATGCTATCCACGGAGCTGTGGATCTGCAGACCAGTGCTATGATTCTACGGGGGAGGGGGGTCTTCCCAGGATGAAGAGGGGAAGGATGAGGGAAGAGGCAAGAGGAGGTGGGAGGAGAACAGAGGGGATCGGCGCGTCGCTTCCGACATGTGGGGCTCAAGAGGAAAATCTTTCGGCCTGCGGAAGTATACGCTACTCGCGTCCCCGAAGCCACGATCTCTTATACATTACGCAATACTTGCGTCCTCGAAGACACAATCCCTAGTAAATTACGCGATGGTCGCGTCCTCGAGGCCATACACCCTAACAATCATACAATGTTTGCGTCTCCGAGGCCACGGTCCCCGTAAAAATACTCAACGCTCGCGTCCCCGAAGCCACGATCCCTCGTAAATTACACAATGCTCGCGTCCCCGAGGCCACGATCCCCCGTAAATTACACAATGCTCGCGCCCTCGAGGCCATAAACCATCGCAAACCAAATAGTATTTGCATCACCGAGGCCACGATCATTTCGTAAATTACCCTGCGTCCGCGTCCCCGAGGCGACGATCCCTGGTAAATCACGCGGTGCTCGCGTCCCGAAGCCACGATTGTCAGGCAATTTCGCAATGCGAACCGTCTGAATTCGATTGGTGGTTTTCAGTTTTGCTGCGCAAGCCGAGAAATATGATATTGGCCCTCGCGTGAAGTCCCGACATTGCTTCACGACAGCGCCCTTGCATCCCAACTTAGCTCTGGCATGCCCCATTCTGAGACAGAGGGGGCCGGCGGCAATGGGCGAAGCCCTTACGGATGATAACGCCTGCTGCCATTGCTCGCACTTTTCGCACGCGTTGATTGCGGCACCATAGCTGACAATGGTCGGTTGCAGCTTAACTTCCCGCAACTCCCTCAGCAACGATAAAGATGTGTGCCATTGCCCGCTTCTCTCGCACGCACTGATTCCAATGTTATAGCAGGTGGTCGTCGGCTGCAGCTTCACTTCCCGCAGCTCGCTGAACAATGACAATGCTTGTTGCCAGTGCTCCCCACTCCCACAAGCGCTGACTCCTGCAGAGTAGCTAATCACGTCGGCCTCCAACTTCACCTCCCGCAGATTACGGAGCAACCTCAATGCACGCTGCCACTGTCCACTTGACTGGCACGCGCTGATGCCAGCGTTATAGCTGATAGCAGTCGGCTCCAGCTTCGCCTCTCGCAACTCCCCGAGAAACGACAGCGCCTGCTGCCACAGCCCACCGGACCGACACGCGCTGATGCAAATGTTGTAGCTGATTACCGTCGGCTCCAGCCCTGCTTCCCGCGACTCGCTGAGCAGCAGCAGCGCACGCTGCCACTGCCCTCCCTTCTCACACGCGCTAGCTCCAGCACTGTGACTGATGGTGTCCTGCTCCATCTTCGACTCACGCATACCACTGAGCAGTGACAATGCCTGCTGCCATTGCTTGCACTGCCCACAAGCACCGATGGCGATACTGCATAGAAAATTTGACTGTGGTGCATCCCGCAAAAGCTTCAGTACTGCGCTCCACTGCTTTGCTTTGCCGCATTTCTTGATTTCGGCTGCGGTAGAGGAAACGCTTGATCGTGACTCTCCCTGTCTCAATACCGCAGATATGCTTGACATAGCCTGGTCACTGGAGCTGAGCAGGCCTTAGGCGTTGGTGCTCGGATGCCAAATAGTAGCCAGCAGCTCTGCTGCTGATCGGGCGTTTCTGTGTAGATAGAACTTGCGCTGAGCGTCTTTCGCAGGGAGGACCTGCTCCTCCTCCTTCTTGTTCTCCTCCTCCTCCTTGTTCTCCTCCTCCTCCTCCTCCTCCTCCTCCTCCTCCTCCTCCTCCTCCCTCTCCGTCCTCCTCTGGTGGCTGATTTTGTGCCCTTACCCCCTCCCCTTCGTGCTGCCCCCCTCCTTCCCCGCCTGTATGCCCCCCGCTCCCAGCCCTCCCTCCTCACCTGTCCGATGCCAAATCCGACATGGTGCCTCCTTGCACATAATTACGTTGAGGCAAATGGTAGAATGCCAGGTGCTGTCCGGAGGGGCTTACGTCAATTTGCTGAGGCCCCTCCCCATCTCCTCACACCAAATGGTGGCGGAACTTAGGATAGATGTGCGATCTTTCCCACACACTCACACACAGACACACATCCGCCGCCGCAAATCGAGTTCTGGCGCGATACTGGCAGATCGGGCGCCGGTGCCTCGGCGGGGACACAGCAGGCATTCAGGCTCCCCTTGGAGCCTCCCCTCGAAGTTCGGTTGCGTGCATCCTCCTACTCCTGAGGCTCGCCGGGCGGCCTGAAGCTTTCCTGGGGCCATCCAAGGCATCCAATATGGTCCAAGAAGGCCACGAAGGCCGCCAGGACGGCCAAACATTCCTTCAATTGGAACTGAGTAGCACCTAAGAAGGCCCCAAGAGGCCAAATAGGCCACAGAAGGCTTGCAAGACATCGGAGAAAAGAAGTCGAGAGGTCCTCCAGGAATGCTTAAACCGTGTCAGGGCCGAAAGGGCCTCACGCGTGTTCGGATATGTTCGTGTTTCCTGGGCCTCTCGCCTCAAGATGATGCCAAGAGGACCTCAAAAGAGCCCAAGAGAGGCCAACGTAGTCCAGTGAGAATCTCAGGAGCCCCCCTGGACGGCCCAGGACAGCTCCAAGAGTGCCACAAGACGCCCCTAGAGGGGACAAGGACAGTCCAAGAGGGCCCCAAGGAGGCCCAAGAGATCCCCGAGAGGCAGGCAAGAAATTCCCCGTCTGGAATTCAGGCATTGCTTTTTCTTTCGCTTTTTACGCTCCAGCTGTTTTCGGTGCTTCAGTGCTTCAAGATGGTGCTCCCGCTGCAGCGCGGGCCTTATTTTCGGATCGGCGCGTGGCTCCCGTCGTTCAGGATGGCGCTCCACTTTTCTGGATCCGAGTCCGTCTGCATCGCTGCCGCCCCCTAATTTCCCCTCCTCCGCCTTCCCTTGGTCCTCCTGCTCCTCCCGCTCCTTCCACTCCAGCTCCTCCTGCTGCTGTTCGTCCTCGTCGTCCTCCTTTTCCTCCACATTGGATCCGATAGTTCTTTGGTTTGCTCATCTTGCTCCTGCTCATCCACCTGCTCATCCGCCACATCCTCTTACGTACGCAGCTCCCTTTTTTCCGATTGCGCATACCACGATGGGGTCCTCTTTAAAATCCCAGGTCCACGGTGACACGCATCAGCGGATCGAGGCAAAATATCGCAATGGGAAGGGAAGTGAAGGGAAGGGTGGGATGGGGTAGGTTGTTAGACACAATGGCGCGTTCTCACCTAGCTTGTCAGCCTCCCCCGCTCCCCATCCTGGCAAGAAGAGGGAGAGAGAAAGAGAGAGGGAGGGAGAGAAATACAGGAGAGAGGGAGGGAGAGAGGGAGAAGAGAGAGAAGAGAGAGAGAGAGAGAGAGAGAGCGAGAGAGAGAGAGAGAGCGAGAGAGAGAGGGAGGGAGGGAGGGAGAGAGAGAGAGAGGGAGGGAGAGAGGGAGAGAGAGGGAGAAAAGAGAGAGAGAGAGAGGGAGGGAGAGAGAGAATGGGATACGTAACGGAACATAGAAAGAAATGCAGGGCCAGCCGGCGGCGCGCACGACGGGGTGGCGCGAGGGGGGCGGCCTTCTGGGGAGGCGGGGGGGCTCCGAGAAGGCAGGCGGCGCCTCCGCAGCCCTCCGCAGCCTCCGAGAGGCCTTCCCGGAAGCCTCCGGGCCCCTCCGAGAAGGCCCCGGGGCTTCCGAGGGCCGGCCCCCGCGCAGCCGCCCCCCTGTGCACGACGCCGCCGAGCGAGAGAGAGAGAGAGAGGGGCGCCGCCAGGCGTGGAGGGGCCCACGACGAGGATGGATCCATCGAGGATCGAGCTTTCGAGGATCGAGGATCGAGCTTTCGAGCTTTCGAGGATCGAGCTTTCGAGGCACCGCCAAGCTGTAGGCCACCCGACTTCGCGCCTCGCGCCCCGGAGGCCCGCGGTGGGCCGTGAACTTCGCGCCCTCGCGAGGCCACCTTGCAGGGGGGCGCCCAAGAGGAGGGCGTCCAAGAGGGGGGGGGCGCAAATCGTGGCCGGCGGCATGTGCGCGGCCCAGGGGGAGGCCAGGGACGTATTAAAACAAGAAGAGGCGCCATGAGATCTGGGGAATATCATGCCCCCCGCCATGATATCCACCCCCCCCTAGTCATCACCCCCCTCTTTTCCGCCCCCGAATCATGGCCGGCGGCATGTGCGCGGACAAAAGGGGGAGGCCAGGGACGCGATGAAATAAGAAGAGGCGCCATGAGATCTGAGGAAATGTCAAGGCCCACGCGCCCTTGCGAGGCCACTCTGGAGGGGCGCCTCTCCCACCCAAGCCGGGATGCGCGGAGCACGCTGGTCCTTGCGCCACTGGGGGTGACCTGCAAGCCTCGTCAAGAATCAACTGACACGCCGTTCAAAGTCGTGGCGCTCGAGAGTTCGGGCACCTGTCAGAGAGCGCGGTCTTCAATGCTGTGAGGGTGCTCCCGGATCTCGGACACCCCTTCGTCTGGGCCGCAGAACTGATGCCAGCACTGAAGTAGCGCCAACCACACAAGCACCGAAAACAAGAACCGTCAGTTGGTTATTTGACGAGTCCCGTAGGAGAGCGAGAGAGAGAGAGAGAGAGAAAGAGCGAGGGAAAGAGAGGGAGGGAGGGAGGGAGATAGAGGGAGAGAGAGAGACAGAGACAGAGGGAGAAGGAGAGAGAAAGAGGGAGGGGAAAGGAGAGAGAGAGAGAGGGGGAGAGAGGGAGAGAGAGAGAGAGAGAGAGACAGAGGGACACACACATATATATACACATATATATATATATAGAGAGAGAGAGAGAGAGAGAACGAGAAAGAAAAAACAAAAACGTAGCGAGAGAAGGGCGCAGCAAAGCGGGCGGGCGCCTGGCACTGCTCCGCGCCGACGGCCCGCGGGGCGACGCGGGCAGCCGCCACGGGCCTGGCGCGCGGACGACGGAGCTGGGCTGAAGAGACAGTGCCTACGAGCTGGAGGCACCAGGTCGCCCCCGCCAGGCGCCCTCCAACAGCCTGCGTGGTCCGTGCCCCTCTGGGCGCTGGAGATCATCAGCCTTCTCGACGCCACAGGCAGGAGAGACGCGTATGAACCCGCGGAGAATGTACGGGAAGACAAGGACACACTTCCACGGTGCGCTGGGCGTGCAGCGCTGTGGGTCAACAAGATCCCGCTGGTCGTCTGTATGCGCCTGGGGATCTGACATCAAACGGGGCAATCGACAGTGCCTACGAGCTGGAGGCACCAGGTCGCCCCCGCCAGGCGCCCTCCAACAGCCTGCGTGGTCCGTGCCCCTCTGGGCGCTGGAGATCATCAGCCTTCTCGACGCCACAGGCAGGAGAGACGCGTATGAACCCGCGGAGAGTGTACGGGAAGACAAGGACACACTTCCACGGTGCGCTGGCGTGCAGCGCTGTGGGTCAACAAGATCCCGCTGGTCGTCTGTATGCGCCTGGGGATCTGACATCAAACGGGGCAATCGACAGTGCCTACGAGCTGGAGGCACCAGGTCGCCCCCGCCAGGCGCCCTCCAACAGCCTGCGTGGTCCGTGCCCCTCTGGGGCGCTGGAGATCATCAGCCTTCTCGACGCCACAGGCAGGAGAGACGCGTATGAACCCGCGGAGAGTGTACGGGAAGACAAGGACACACTTCCACGGTGCGCTTGGCGTGCAGCGCTGTGGGTCAACAAGATCCCGCTGGTCGTCTGTATGCGCCTGGGGATCTGACGTCAAACGGGGCAATCGACAGTGCCTACGAGCTGGAGGCACCAGGTCGCCCCCGCCAGGCGCCCTCCAACAGCCTGCGTGGTCCGTGCCCCTCCGGGCGCTGGAGATCATCAGCCTTCTCGATGCCACAGGCAGGAGAGACGCGTATGAACCCGCGGAGAGTGTACGGGAAGACAAGGACACACTTCCACGGTGCGCTGGGCGTGCAGCGCTGTGGGTCAACAAGATCCCGCTGGTCGTCTGTATGCGCCTGGGGATCTGACATCAAACGGGGCAATCGACAGTGCCTACGAGCTGGAGGCACCAGGTCGCCCCCGCCAGGCGCCCTCCAACAGCCTGCGTGGTCCGTGCCCCTCCGGGCGCTGGAGATCATCAGCCTTCTCGATGCCACAGGCAGGAGAGACGCGTATGAACCCGCGGAGAGTGTACGGGAAGACAAGGACACACTTCCACGGTGCGCTTGGCGTGCAGCGCTGTGGGTCAACAAGATCCCGCTGGTCGTCTGTATGCGCCTGGGGATCTGACGTCAAACGGGGCAATCGACAGTGCCTACGAGCTGGAGGCACCAGGTCGCCCCCGCCAGGCGCCCTCCAACAGCCTGCGTGGTCCGTACTCCTCCGGGCGCTGGAGATCATCAACCTTCTTGATGCCACAGGCAGGAGAGACGCGTATGAATCCGCGGAGAGTGTACGGGAAGACAAGGACACACTTCCACGGTGCGCTGGGCGTGCAGCGCTGTGGGTCAACAAGATCCCGCTGGTCTGTATGCGCCTGGGGATCTGACATCAAACGGGGCAATCCGACAGTCCTACGAGCTGGAGGCACCAGGTCGCCCCCCCAGCGCCCTCCCAACACCTGCTGGTCCGTGCCCCTCCGGCGCTGGAGACATCAGCCTTCTCGATGCCACAGCAGGAGAGACGCGTATGAACCCGCGGAGAGTGTACGGAAGACAAGGACACACCTTCCACGTGTGCGCTGGGCGTGCAGCGCTTGGTCAACAAGATCCCGCTTGTCGCTGTATGCGCCTGGGGATCTACACAAACGGGCAAATCGACAGTGCCCTACGAGCTGAGGCACCAGGTTCACGCCCCCGCCAGGTCGCCCTCCCCACCTGCGTGGTCCGAGCCCCTCCGGCGCTGGAATCTCAGAGATCCTCGATGCCACAGCAAGGAAAACAGGTTCTTAACCCGCGGAGAGTGTACGGGAAGACAAGGAACACACTTCCACGGTGCGCTTGCGTGCAGCGCTGTGGTTTCAACAGATCCCGCTGGTCTGCTGATCGCCTGGGGATCTGACATCACACGGGGCAGGGGGGCAAACGACAGTGCCTACGAGCTGAGGCACCAGGGTCCGCCCCCGCCAGCGCCCTCTCAACAGCCAGCGTGGTCCGTGCCCCTCCTGGGCGCTGGAATCATCAGCCTTTCTCGATGCCACAGGCATGAGAGACGCGCGTATGAACCCCGAAGTGTACGGGAAGACAAGGACACACTTCCACGGTGCGCTGGGCGTGCAGCGCTGTGGCTCAACAAGATCCCGCTGGTCGTCTGTATGCGCCTGGGGATCTGACATCAAACGGGGCAATCGACAATGCCTACGAGCTGGAGGCACCAGGTCGCCCCCGCCAAGCGCCCTCCAACAGCCTGCGTGGTCCGTGCCCCTCCAGGCGCTGGAGATCATCAGCCTTCTCGATGCCACAGGCAGGAGAGACGCGTATGAACCCGCGGAGAGTGTACGGGAAGACAAGGACACACTTCTACGGTGCGCTTGGCGTGCAGCGCTGTGGGTCAACAAGATCCGCAGTCGCTGTTATCGCCTGGGGATCTGACTCAAACGGGGCAATCGAGAAACAGTGCCAACGAGCTGAGGCACAGGTCCGCCCCCGCCAGCGCCCTCCCACCGCCTGCGTGGGTCCGTGCCCCTCCGTGCCGCTGGAGGATCATCAGCCTTCTTGATGCCACAGGCAAAGAGAACGCGTATGAAATCCGCGGAGAGTGTACGGGAAGACAAGGACACACTTCCACGGTGCGCTGGGCGTGCAGCGCTGTGGCTCAACAAGATCCCGCTGGTCGTCTGTATGCGCCTGGGGATCTGACATCAAACGGGGCAATCGACAGTGCCTACGAGCTGGAGGCACCAAGTCGCCCCCGCCAGGCGCCCTCCAACAGCCTGCGTGGTCCGTGCCCCTCCGGGCGCTGGAGATCATCAGCCTTCTCGATGCCACAGGCAGGAGAGACGCGTATGAACCCGCGGAGAGTGTACGGGAAGACAAGGACACACTTCCACGGTGCGCTGGGCGTGCAGCGCTGTGGCTCAACAAGATCCCGCTGGTCGTCTGTATGCGCCTGGGGATCTGACATCAAACGGGGCAATCGACAGTGCCTACGAGCTGGAGGCACCGGGAGTCGCCCCCCCAGGCGCCCTCCAACAGCCTGCGTAGGTCCGTGCCCCTCCGGCGCTTGGAGATCATCACCTTCTCGATGCCACAGGCAGGAGAGACGCAGTATGAATCGCGGAGAGTGTACGGGAAGACAAGGACACACTTCCACGGTGCGCTGGGCGTGCAGCGCTGTGGCTCAACAAGATCCCGCTGGTCGTCTGTATGCGCCTGGGGATCTGACATCAAACGGGGCAATCGACAATGCCTACGAGCTGGAGGCACCAGGTCGCCCCCGCCAAGCGCCCTCCAACAGCCTGCGTGGTCCGTGCCCCTCCAGGCGCTGGAGATCATCAGCCTTCTCGATGCCACAGGCAGGAGAGACGCGTATGAACCCGCGGAGAGTGTACGGGAAGACAAGGACACACTTCTACGGTGCGCTTGGCGTGCAGCGCTGTGGGTCAACAAGATCCCGCTGGTCGTCTGTATGCGCCTGGGGATCTGACATCAAACGGGGCAATAGACAGTGCCTACGAGCTGGGCTCCAAGGTCGCCCCCGAAAGGCGGGCCCTCCAAAAACGCCTGCGGGGTCCCCTGCCCTCCGGGCGCTGCGAGATCAGCAGCCTTCTCGATGCCACAGGCAAGAGAGACGCGTATGAATCCGCGGAGAGTGTACGGGAAGACAAGGACACACTTCCACGGTGCGCTGGGCGTGCAGCGCTGTGGGTCAACAAGATCCCGCTGGTCGTCTGCATGCGACTGGGGATCTGACATCAAAAGGGGCAATCGACAGTGCCTACGAGCTGGAGGCACCAGGTCGCCCCCGCCAGGCGCCCTCCAACAGCGTACGTGGTCCGTACCCCTCCGGCGCTGGAGGTCATCAGCCTTCTCGATGCCACAGGCAAGAGAGACGCGTATGAACCCGCGGAGAGTGTACGGGAAGACAAGGACACACTTCCACGGTGCGCTGGGCGTGCAGCGCTGTGGGTCAACAAGATCCCGCTGGTCGTCTGTATGCGCCTGGGGATCTGACATCAAACGGGGCAATCGACAGTGCCTACGAGCTGGAAGCACCAGGTCGCCCCCGCCAGGCGCCCTCCAACAGCCTGCGTGGTCCGTGCCCCTCCGGGCGCTGGAGATCATCAGCCTTCTCGATGCCACAGGCAAGAGAGACGCGTATGAATCCGCGGAGAGTGTACGGGAAGACAAGGACACACTTCCACGGTGCGCTGGGCGTGCAGCGCTGTGGGTCAACAAGATCCCGCTGGTCGTCTGCATGCGACTGGGGATCTGACATCAAAAGGGGCAATCGACAGTGCCTACGAGCTGGAGGCACCAGGTCGCCCCCGCCAGGCGCCCTCCAACAGCGTACGTGGTCCGTACCCCTCCGGCGCTGGAGGTCATCAGCCTTCTCGATGCCACAGGCAAGAGAGACGCGTATGAACCCGCGGAGAGTGTACGGGAAGACAAGGACACACTTCCACGGTGCGCTGGGCGTGCAGCGCTGTGGGTCAACAAGATCCCGCTGGTCGTCTGTATGCGCCTGTTGATCTGACAACAAAACGGTGGCAATCGACAGAGCCTACTAGCTTGGAAGCACCAGGTCGCCCCCGCAGGCGCCCTCACCAACAGCCTGCGTGGTCCGTACCCCTCCGGCGCTGGAGTTCATCAGATCCTTCTTGATGCCACAGTCAAGAGGAGGACGCGGTAATGAACCCGCGAGAGTGTAACGGAATACAAGGACACGCTTCCACGTTGCGCCTATGTCGAGCATCTGCATGTGGGTCAACAAGATCCCGCTGGTCGTCTGTATGCGCCTGGGGATCTGACATCAAAAGGGGCAATCGACAGTGCCTACGAGCTGGAGGCACCAGGTCGCCCCCGCCAGGCGCCCTCCAACAGCTTACGTGGTCCGTTCCCCTCTGGGCGCTGGAGATCATCAGCCTTCTTGATGCCACAGGCAGGAGAGACGCGTATGAGCGGAGACTGTACGGGAAGACAAGGACACACTTCCACGGTGCGCTGGGCGTGCAGCGCTGTGGGTCAACAAAATCCCGCTGGTCGTCTGTATGCGCCTGGGATCTGACATCAAACGGGGCAATCGACAGTGCCTCCGAGCTGGAGGCACCAGGTCGCCCCCGCCAGGCGCCCTCCAACAGCGCACGTGGTCCGTACCCCTCCGGGCGCTGGAGATCATCAGCCTTCTTGATGCCACAGGCAGGAGAGACGCGTATGAACCCGCGGAGAGTGTACGGGAAGACAAGGACACACTTCCACGGTGCGCTGGGCGTGCAGCGCTGTGGGCCAACAAGATCCCGCTGGTCGTCTGTATGCTGCCTGGTATCTGACATCAAAAGTGTCAATCGACAGTGCCTACGAGCTTGAGGCACCAGGTCAGCCCCCGCCAAGGCGCCCTCCAACAGCCAACGTGGTCCGTACCCCTCCAGGCGCTGGAGGTCATCAACCTTCTTGTGTCACAAAGCAGGCGCAAGAGAGACGCGTATGAATCCGCGGAGACTGTACGGGAAGACAAGGACACACTTCCACGGTGCGCTGGGTGTGTAGCGCTGTGGGTCAACAAGATCCCGCTGGTCGTCTGTATGCGCCTGGGGATCTGACATCGAAC